ACATTCACATTATACAGGGTTGTCCGGTACATACCGCGGTTAGGTATATATAAACACCGGTATTTACCGATAACTTACGCCAAGCAGACTCTTCGCCAAATCATAGTATTTTTTTTTTCTTTCTTTCCAAACTCTATTTTTTTTCTTTTTTAGTGTATAACCTTAGAATATATACATTATCAAGCAGAAATCATGATTAAACACCAAACAAAAGAAGAAACTCATGGCAAAATGTTGCTAACCTTTCCGCATATTAAAAACAAACGTTATCATTACAGCTCACCCTGTGGTTATATTGTATCAGCATTATTACATTCACACCCGTTGTCATCAAATGTTTGTCTATTCAGCTTCTTCCTTTCTTTGCTCACAGTAATTCCTTCCACTTTGTCATGTGTTTGCCCTCTTCAGATGCTCTCAACTTTCTCTTTTCTTGTGATTTGTTTTTAAATATTGCGTTCAAGATTCGCTAGGCAAGTAAAAAATCTCAATGTTTATTCCCGTCTTATTGATTTTTCGTGCTGTGGGTGCACGAAGATAGGTGCTATGATTTTATTTGCAGAGTTGTTGAGATTGCTCTAGGTATACCGATGTGTATCAGTTTGAAGCAGAGTTGGTTTAGGGTACGCTGTGTTTCTAGGCTCTTTGTGACGTGGTGCGGAAGTTCTGGCTTTGAGCAATATTCGATGAATTTTACGAGAGGTTATAAGTGTACGTCATTCACTTCGTGTGCTTCTCTTTGTAGTGTCTCTTACGTAAAACAAAAATAGTCCATAAACTAGGTTGGACGTGGCGAATCACTCGACATTATTACTGGGGTTTTCATTCTTTGTTTCCATTTTTTAAAGCTAAATTCTATTCTATTTTCTAAATCTGTGTCAGAGGGGCACAACCGCACCGCGTGCCTCCATCTTTCAAACCCATTTGACAAACCTTTTATATGCAATACAAAAATCTTTCCGTTCATCGTGATTATTTTTTTCTGTCAAACTCCATTTTTCAAACCCAATCGACAAACCTTATCTAATTAGATACATGAAATAGGCATATGCAAAACCCACGAAAAAATCCTTTTATTGTAATTTTTCTTTCTTTCGAACCTAATTGACACACCTTATATTAAATGTAACTCCAAAAAGTACCCTGTAAGTGTGAGTATTTTAATGGAAATCTCCCCCCCCCCCCCCCACTCTTAAAATCCAGGGTCCGCCCCTGTTCTAAATCATACTACGTCATCCATAATATGTTACCATCTACTGTAGATCTCACTTGTCAAGATCTGTAGTATCAAGACACTTTGACGCTAACAACATTTCTGATTGTTGGATTATATTTTATCATGGAAGGTAATCTCTGCTGTCACATTCAGTGAGATGAGCTTGTCACAGCTTTACCCGATAGGTAATCTTGCCAACATGGAAGGTAAACTCTGCTGTCATATTCGATGAGCTTGTCACAACTTTGCCCGATAGCTGACCTTGCCAACACGTCAAGCACTTCCTACTGTTTACTATTATCTTCTGAACCAACACCGAAGTGACATGGCTAATATTCGTTGATTCCAGAAAGAAAGAAAAAATCACCTATTTTTGCCTTCTCCTGCCCTGTATATTTACTTTCATATTTTCTCTTTGTTCTAAGGGTGTTTCTCTACGGCTAGGTTAAGATAATTGAAGTGTGTTTGTGAAATGTAAATACTCTTCTAATCATGAATGACCCTGATTGACTCTGAACCAACACCGGAGTGACATTGCTAATATTAGTTGATTCCAGAAAGAAAGAAAAATCACCTATTTTTGCCTTCTCTTATCCTTTAAATTTACTTTCATATTGTCTCTTTGTTCTAAGGGTGTTTCTCTACGGCTAGGTTAAGATAATTGAAGTGTGTTTGTGCAATGTAAATACACTTCTAATCATAAATGACCCTGAGTGAGGTGCGATTAATCGAACGACCGCGAGAACGAGGCACGTGCCAAGTTGATTATTACATTTCCAAAGCGTGTGTGATATTTCAGGTTTCAGAATAGTTATCTCCATTTATATAATTTCATTTTCTGAAAATAAACTTATGTTGGGGAAAAGCCATGGTCATCGACATTGAACTGAATTGAGTTCAGTCGAAGTAAATTGAATTTAAACAATGACGTATTCATAAATAGTAAGAGGCTCGACATCGGGGGCTGCATTGCGACGGAAGAATAAAATACTTAGGTAAGACAGAAAGTCGGTGAAAATTATCTTAAATGACATCACCGCGACAAAATCAAGTTTCTACTGTGAGATTGCAATTTTCAAGTATATCGACTTTCCAAACGTAAAAGTCGATATTTATCTGATTCTTCACATTTTCTCAGAGATTTTATGTACATCTTATTTCAGTGAAGCAATTACATATCCTGGGGACGGTTGCATAAAGTTACCATTGGTGGTAACTTTGCCATCAATGACAACTACAATGTTAACAGGGCTCAACAGCCTATCAAAATCAAGGTTTCCATGGTAGACGCTATTGATGGTAAAATTACCATCAATGGTACGTTTTGTGCAACGGGGCCCAGCACAGCTTTTTGATGAGCACAATGACTGTGGCCACGTCAGTTGTTTAACACTTCAGATGCTTTCTTCACCTTTCTTTACGGTTGCTCGTTTGCCACATCTGCAATTTGGTACAAGATCATAGGCACCAACTGAATGAAGGATTGCTTTGTGAAATAACAATGGATTAGTAAAATTTCCCATTTCCTACCTTGATTAGCTCCATGACAACCCTTTTTAATACCGGTATAGATAAGCCTTGGCCTGGAAACAGTTCCAAAATACTGAAGTCTTTGGTATATCTTTACCATGATAAATACAATGTCGCGCAGGGATTTTGCACTGGGATATTTGTGTGGCGTATAAAAAGTTAATGAGAGAATCACGTCTCCCCGTAATCCATGTCTATTTCCCGCACCCACTTCTTCAGATTCTTTATCCTGAGTTGATAGGAGAATGATCTGTTATAAATCCGTAGAGCGATAAAGATTTTAGTCCAAGATCTAAGTAAATATAATCAGTCCTATTAGAGCTAATCTTAACTCATCAGATATTGATCCTCCCGTATGACGATCTCCATTACTGCATCAGTACGAAATTTGTCAGCAAATATTTTCTCCCTCCTCTTCCATTTTGTTTTCTTTTAACTCCTTTGTTTCTTTTGATTAATGCTTGTTTTCCATTTTAGTAATTATTAAATCAATGCGGGGTAGTTGAAACAATATTATGACATTGCGTGCGCTTGTATTGACACAGAAAGAAATAAACCAAACCAAACCACAACTTTTATCAACGAACATTAAATGTATTATTCACTTGTTGTTCATTGTATTAGGCATACTATAATTTGCGTTCAGCTTTCAGTTTGTATATTTCACAAACGATAAAGTGTATACTTCACTATGATTCTATCGTTCGTATTCTTCCATCGGTGAATCATACATGCTCCCTAAAGAAAATGTGTACAAGCATTTGGGCGGGGCTCCTTCTGATAATAAGCATAAATATCACTTACTTAGGAGCGCTAAAAACCAAAAGTGCTTCCAAGATAACGCGATGTTGAGAGATACATACAACTCATGAATAGGTAAATCATATTATATGTTAAATGTTAAATCTAAGATGCAAGGCCCTACGTGATACCATTGTATGTAATATGGTGTAATATTAAAGCCCTAGAAAAATTTAAAAAAACTTGGAGTGACCGGTTTTACCATACTCATTTCCCCCAATAGACTGTAGTGTTATAAAAAAAACGTTAGGATAACGAAAAATGAAATTTCGATTTCCAATCATAAATATCTTGGTAATCAGACAGGCGATCGGCTTGTTAATTTCATGGGATGCCTGACTGACCTAAAGGTTTATAACTATGATTGCAGCATGAGCAAAATCCAGGATTTTGTTTCAGAATCTGTGGCAGTGTTACCGAGCCACTTTAAGGGATCTCTTGAAACGGTTATTTCTCCAATGGAAATGGGGATGTCTTCTGTCAACTATCTTCTTCGTCTAAGTTTATGTTTACAGTCTACTTAACTGCCGTTTACCATCATGGCATTCTTTGTTTCCATAAGAGAGTGTGTGGTCTGTAAACTTGTGAGAGCGGCCCTTGAGATAAGTGATGCTTCTATGTTTAGACAAGAGGATGGCTCCGGAATGACAGATTTACCGAGCGTCATTGACATTAGAATCAGCACAATATTGAATTACGCCATGATAAACTGAATGTGACGGACAGTGATTGATGTAAAACAGAGCAGGCGCGGAAGGCTACCCGCCCAAACTACGATACCAGTATACCGAGAGGGATGCACACAACACGGCTCTAATTGGTTTCACAAACCAGAGCTGTTATTGCATGCAACTTGGAATCGTGGCAGATCGTTTTATATTAGAAGAAAAGAATATAATTAGCACAAAATTCAAAGATATTAGCTGAATACATCAACGATTTTTTAACCAACGCCTTTGTTTGTATTCAACCAAACCCATCTCTCTCTCTCCCTCTCTCTCTCTCTCTCTCTCTGCATTCTTACACAATTCTTTTAACACAATTGCAACGACTTTCGGAAAAAACAACCTAGAGAAATTTCAATGGCTTTGTACATCACCTATCGAAATGTGCCAACCTTACAATGACATATTACATAATCCATACATAATTCTATGGGACATACAATTGGGTATTGAAATTGGCCATGAGTTAATTTTTGATAGTAGTGGTGATCGTGTTTTTTTAATATATTTTTTCAAGAAAGTTTGATGACCTGTACATATATGTATTTTGTTTTTGTGATTTTACTTTGTAAACTCCAAGGCATGCAATTCAGCCCATGGGCTGCTACGTGTTTTTTTTTAATGAATAACATTGTAATTCAATTCAATACCAATTATTGTTCTGAATGCTTTTTTTTAAACATGTGCTTATTGTTCTCCGTTTTTCTCTCTCTTCTTCTTTTTCACAGAGGGCAAGGTTGAGGTGACAAAAGAAGGCAAATTTCTAACGACCATGGGTCCTGGCAAGGTGTTTGGAGAACTGGCTATTCTTTACAACTGCACCAGGACAGCTACAGTCAAAGGTTGGTATATCTAGTGGAGAATTTGGAGAGCCAACCCCCCCCCCCTCCCCCACCCCACCCCCTCCGTTAGAACAGAGTCTGGAATATTGCTTTTGCGTTGTTGCCCATAAAGTTGGAAATATTTTGTTTCACCTCTATTCATAATTGATTGTGACTGTGTGATTTTCATTAATTTATTTGCTATCTGCTTATCAGAGTCTTTGTGTCGCCCCTCCTATTTCAACAAAATCATAAATCCATCCACGAGTATATCGATTATATATGACCGGTAGCGTTATATTTATTTTCTTTTTTATAATGAATATTTGTGTAGTGTAATAAGCATAGAAACTGCTGTTCAAATGATGATGACGTTAGAGCGAACATCAGTGGAGTCAGTAACGCGCATGTTTTGGTCCAGATGTTGTAGTTTTAGGTACTAAGGAGCATAAAATACAATATGCAATTGTCATCAAGGAAAAAATATCTTAGTACGTTTATTTATGTCACTCTCTCTCTCTCTCTCTCTCTCTATCTCTCTCTTCTTGTATATTTAATCATATAATTTTCGATCTTTCTCGCTCTACATTTCTCTGTGCTTCTCTATTTATCTCTGTTTCTCTCCGTTTATCTTTCTCTTTCTCTCTCTTTCTCTTTCTCTATGTCTTTCTCTTCTTTTCTCTCTTCCTCTCTCTCTCCTCTGTTTGTTCTTTCTCATTGTCTCTATTCATTCTGTTCTCTTTCGTCCATAGTTCTCTATAATCCTTAATTTAAAATCACACTTACATTAGTTTATGCCTCTCTATATACATGTTATTTTCTACTTAGCGCCTCGGTCCCTTTCAAGTTTGCCGCCCTATGTCAGCACATATTAATGCATATTATAGGATTTCCGTTGCCTCTTCGGCCTTCGACCCTCGGAATTCCTCGAAATTCCTCGATTCTCTCATGGCTTTCTGCAACCTCATATAAATGGAAAGCACGAATTCTAGTTTTCCTGAAACAAACGTTAGGGACCCGACGAATCTATAATTTCATTAAAAATAATCATTATGACCAGAAGGAATACGCATGTAGGGTTATCTCTGCTAAGCTCCATTGAGAAATGCTATACAATCTTGCACCCTCAAATGAAAAGAGGTATTGTTTTATAAATAAAAATGATAAAAACATGTTATTCTTGCCTACCGCTGAAATTCGATCGTGGAGTGCATTGCCTGCTGTTGCTCCCAAGTCATCGCCCCAAAACAAATTTGACACATTTTTGGAGGGTTTTCCGAGCCATCTTACGTTACCACGTGTTGCCTATAGGTGTTATAGCTTGGTGTTCTTATTAAAGCTTGCATTGATCTTTCGTCTGTTTTACATTCGACAAGATGAAAGAAAGGTGTAGAGACGGGCCGGGAAGATATCGAATTAGATCGGCCTAAGGGTTATTCGCGGGTCAACATTTAAAAAATCGCACTCCAGATTTCCCACATTGATTTCAAAGTTCATGCCAGATCTTGTTGCTATTATTTTGTTTGATGTCCATTATTGAAGTTATTTCCAGGGATGTTTCCATGGATATAAATGGTTTCTGTTCTCTATAATGCTTTAATTTTTATAATATTCCTCCTTCTTTTATTCGTAGGAGGAATATAGTGGGGATTCATTGATAGTCTGATAAGTTACGAAGCTTCGATGAAATTAGGTTACAATGTCTTTTTATTTGAATAAAAATCGTGTAGACTCCTTTTTCAAAAAATTGAGAAATTGTGTAAGCTATCAAAATCTAACACCCATCTCGGTCACCTCCCCCTTCTCTCTCTCTCTTTTCTCTCTCTCTCTCTCTCTCTCTCTCTCTCTCTTTCTCTTTCTCTTTCTCTTTCTCTTTCTCTTTCTCTTTCTCTTTCTCTCTCTGTATTTTTTTTACCCTTTCTCTTTCCCTCCCTCTACCTTTCTCTTTTCTTTTTCTGTATTTTGGTTCGTTTATCATGTATTTCCTACGTTCTCTCTCTCTCTCTCTTGTTTTGCAAAAGCTTTCAACTGTTTGCGAAAAAATAAATTCGTAAAGAAGTTTTGAACATGTTCAAAATCTCTTTGCGGCAATAAAAGCTGTTAAGACAATGAAAACTGTTTTCCGAACTTTCTTGCAACCTTTTACAAACCCGAAACCCCAAATTCGCAATGTTCGCAAGCATTCGCAGCTCAGTGAGAAACCCCCTTGAAAGATTCTTTTATTCATTATGTCATTTATACATACGATTCATGATATATTAAGTACGTTTGATGTAGAAAGCAAGATATGTATGTGATACTGCGGTACAAGTAGCGAGATGTCTTGTATAATTATGCGCAAATAATTGTGGCGGTTGTCAGATTGGTATTCCTAATAACGTTGAAATGCGTGAGTTTGCATGAAAAGGCTTTAGTGTCAAAAAGCTCCTGAATACGTAAGACAAGCAGACGAAAACTAAGTTGAAGTGTACTTTACTGTCTCACAACGTTAGTTACAAAAGGCAGCATGTGTCTTTCTGATAACCTGACCAATTATACGTATCCTTCAAAAAACACATTCGTTGATAAATACCGACAATAGTTGCATCTTCAGATTCAGTTTGACGAGGATACTATGAATATCGAATCGAATTGATTATAACTTGTAGGGTTTTTTTTTCATTGCCGATACATTGGGGTAGTATTCTGCAAAACTGATGTTGATATTGAGCGACTTTTAGGTTAGAGTTTTATATCCTTTTCATATTGCATATTAATTTTATATTAAGTAATAAGATAAACAAATAAAACATGTAAATTTGACAATACATGACTAATATTTGTCAAATATATGGATTCTCTGAGCATGATCATAATAACTCACTTTTTGTAATAATTATTTGAAGAAAAAAAAGTTTCATGCGTTAAGGAGTTAGTTAGTGTGCATTTTCATTTACTTTTGTTGATTTACTCAGTTTTTCGATATATCAATTTGGTATATTTTCGGCAGATTTTTGTGCATATACATGTATGGCACCACCCTTACATTGAAAACGTGACTCCCAGTAGGGTCGTTTATAGAACGGCAGTTTCAAAACGTTCGACCGAGCCAAAATAAAATTCACGAATGCATAACAAAATACCCTGTAGGGTAGCTTATCAACAGAGGCGTATGTAAGACATACCATCATGAAAGATTTAAGGAAAATACTAATCCTGACGCAATTTAACATGTGCGGGTTACATGTCTTAAAATGTAAGGAAGCTCCCCTTATATTCTCTCTCTCTCTCTCTCTCTCTCTCTCTCTCTTTTTTTTTCTCTATCTCTCTCTATCTCTATCTCTATCTCTCTCTCTTTTTTCCTCTCTCTCTCTCTCCCTCTCTCTCTCTCTCTCTCTCTCTCTATATATATATATATATCTCTCTCTCCCACTCCCACCTTCTCCTCCCTCCCTCTCTTTATTTTTTTTTCTCTCTCTCTCACTCTCTCTCTCTCTCTCTCCCACCCTTTCTATCTCTTTATTTATTTATCTACCTCGTCCTTATAACCTTTCGGTCCTTACTCTCTTTCCGCCCTGTCTCTTTGTTAAACCGTTGTTCATTTTGATGTTTTACACATGCTGTTTTCAATCATGTTGAATATGAATGGATTTATCTGGAGGCGAAGTGAACCGAGCGACTCGGGGGAACTAAATATGTGCATTCGATGCGACTCGAGTGTTTAAGGGAGTTCATCGGGGAGCTGCTTTGGCATATCTTCGGGGACGTGGCCCTCTTTCATTAAAAGGGGACAACGAAAATCATGAATTCTAAAGAGAGTAAAATATGAAAGAAAAAATAACAGGGTACACTCTAAAAACTAAAAATTTAAAATACATTTCAAACGGGGTGAGGAGTGGTCACTTTTTTAAATTTCAGATTAACACTTTTAACATGCTAGATTCAATAATTATAGGGTTGGATTCAGCATGTTGAAAGTGTTAATCAACCATTTCCCGCCCACCCTGCCCCGCCCTTAATGCCTCAGTCCGTCTCGTTCTACACCCCAAATATTTGAAGGGGGCTAGCCGTTACCCCTCCCAACCCGCCGCCTCCCATAATGCCTCAATCTTCTCCCCAAATAAATTGAAGGGAACTCGCCTTTACCCCTCCCACCCCCTGTAATAATAATAATAATAATAATAATAATCCGGTTTTTTATATAGCGCTCAATACACCGATCCAACGATGTACCTAAGCGCTTTACAGATATATTATTACCCCGGTCATCGGATTCAGGCTTACCCGCACACAATGTGTGCACATTTTCCACTCCCTGGGGAGCATTCCAGCCAGTAATGCCTCAGTCCAACTCTTTCTAATCCCCAATTCGTCCTTGTTTTCACGAAGTGACGGTAGTGAGGAAAATCGTAACGCAAAGTGAATGCAATTTTTTTTCACTACCGTCACTTCGTGAAAACAGCGACGAATTATTGGAAGGGGCTCGTCTTTACCCCCCCCCCCCCCCCCCATCCCACCCGCCTCCCATAATGCCTCAGTTCAACTCTCTTTACTCCCAAAAAACTTTAAAGGGGGCTCTTCTTTATCCCCTCCCGCCCCCACAGTCGCCTCCATACATGTCATGTCGTTTAGGATGCTATGTCATGAAGAGGTGAATGAACCGATTTGAATTTCAAATCTCTCACAGCACCCCAACATGCATGAGGGAATATATCAAAATAATATTCGTTTCGCCTTGGCATCGGATATGCTTGAAAGCATCAACTCTTGAGTTTAGAATTTTCACGAGATGAGTGTCATGGGTTAGTGTTAGCTTACTCGAATAATGAGAGGAACTCAGACGCTCTTATTTCAGCCAGTTTTGAGTTACACTATGCCCTATCCTCAATACTAATACAAAAAATTACATACTAATACAAGGAATTAAAGTACCGTGGAAATAAGATTTTGCTTCTCTTCAAAACGGGCCGTTTCCAGTATGTATCCCATATTTGAACCATCCCTATTCAGTAATATTAACAGCATATTTATGTTTTCTAGTATGACAATATGTTTATCCTGCGTACTGAAATGTAGAAAGTATAATATTGAAACTTTGTTATAAATATGCGATCAAAACAATATATATAAATTGTTGATTTATCGTAGTTTTCTCTAGCTGAGATATCACTTCCCAGGATTCTTCGAACAGTTTCATACTTAAGATAGTAAGTTTGTAGTACAGTGAATGTGTAATTATTTCTAAATCATCACCAAAAGCGGATGCTGATAGCGTTGATTTACAAAAATCCAAATTTCTGCCAAAAGTGAAAAGGCTTTATTCAAGAATAAGGTGTTTTTCCGAAAATAACTGAAACTCCAGCAAATGTAAGATGACAGTTCCTTCCAACGTATTACATTATTTTCATTTCTCTTATTTAAGAGATTTCAAAATCAATAATTCACATTCCATTTGCTAGAATTAACATGTCTCATCTTTGTCTCGAAACAAATTGCGCTGAGGTTAAATCCCGGATTATTTGGTGTGCGTTGTAAAAAGAAAATATTGATATAGATGATATACTTGTCTAAGGAATGCTGATTGTATGCCTTATTTGATTTAAATCATTTTAAATGTATTTTATTTTATTCAGCTGTTACCAACACCAAGCTATGGGCTATAGACAGACAGTGCTTCCAGGCTATTATGATGAAAACAAGTTTGGTCAGACAAGCCGACTTTGTAGAATTGATACGAAGGTGAGGGACGGTGGTAGTGATGGTGGTGATGATGGTGGTGATGGTGGTGGTGATGGTGGTGATGGTGATGATGATGGTTGTGGTGGTGATGGTGGTGGCGATGGTGGTGGTGATGGTGGTGGTGATGGTGGTGGTGATGATGGTGATGGTGATGATGGTGGTTGTGGTGGTGATGGTGGTGGTAATGACGGTGATGATGATGATAGTGGTGATGGTGGTGGTGGTGATGGTGGTGGTGGTGTGGTGATTATGGTGGTGATGGTGGTGGTAACGATGGTGGTAACGATGGTGGTAATGATGGTAATGATGGTAATGATGATGATGATGATGATGGTGATTTTGATGATGGTGATGGTTATGGTAACGGTAATGGTGATGGTGGTGGTGATGATGATGATGGTGGTAGTGATGTTGGTAATGATGGTGATGGTGATGATGATGGTGGTGGTGATGATGATGATGATGACGGTGATGATGATGGTGGTGGTGATGATGATGATGGTGGTAGTGATGGTGGTAATGATGGTGACGGTGATGATGGTGGTGGTGGTGGTAATGATGGTGATGATGATAATGATAGTGATGGTGATGATGATGGTGAAGATGATGATGGCGGTGGTGATGGTTATGGCAGTGATAATACTAGTGGTAGTGACATTGAGGAAGATAGTAGCGTGGTAAAAGATATGGGGATGATGATGGTGGTAGTGGTAGTGATGAATATGGTAGCTATGATGATGATGATGATGATGATGATTGTAGCAATGATGATCTTGGTGCTGATAATTAAGGTGGTGATACTTACGGGTAACGGGTGTGATTTATGTGTCTTTAATGGGTATATAATATTTATTTTCTCTCTTATATTTTCCAGGGTACCAACCTTTCATCTTCTACCCGACGAAACACTCAACAAAATAGCAGATGTTGTAGATGAGGTGAGAAATTGGTTACTGTAAAAAAAATCAAAGAAAACATTGGAAATTTCTTAGTCATCAAATAAATTTTGCCTTGACTTAAGGAATTTATCTTCATTTTATTTTCTGTCTTTGTAGTTTACCACCATTTCTTTGATACAGATTTACTTGTATTTGCATTCTGATAAATAAGTTGATTTATTATTTTCAAAAACTATCAAACCATGAAATCACCATTGATCTGCTGTTTGTATAGAGATGTACTATACAATAAATTTATGCAGACAAAACCAAATTAAACTGAATTTAGTTTTCTTTGACGGATTAATATCTGTGTTTTTTAAACTATCAAACGATGAAATCACTGTTGATCTGTTGTAGTGTAAAAATAATGTATCTTACAATACATTTATGCCAACCAAAAAAAATTGAACTAAATTATGTATTCTCTGTCAAATCCATATCTTTCCTTTTGCTGAACATCAAGCAAATTCAATGGAGGTTCTTGAAAATCAATGAAAATCTTCGTATTCTTCACATATGTTTGTTTCTTTTTCTTTCCATTTTATGTTTTATCTTTATACCTTCTGTCTATCCATCTATCTTGTTTTCATTTACAGACCTATTTCGATGAAGGTGATTACATTGTTAGGCAAGGTGCATCAGGAGATACGATGTACATCATCAGTAAAGGAAAGGTGGGTTGGCATTCAAAAATAAGATATTTAATTTTTAATGCTATTTTGGACAAAACAGATATATACATTGGCTGCCACCTTGTAATACAATGATATTCATTGTATATGGAAGATTGATGCAATATTACATTGATTGAATTCTATTCTTACTACCTAAGATTGAATTCCAAGGTCACAAAAGAATATGCGGGATTAATATAATAATCACAATGTTCGATGTTTTCAATCATTTTCAAACGTTAATGCTGTGAAAGATAGATCATCGATCATTTGGTCTCCAACTGCAACATCCATCATACTCTTAAAGGGATCCGGTAACTTTGTCTTAGATCCTTTAGAAATAATCCTTGATTTAGCTCATGCTGCAATGATAATTATAAACCTTTAGGTCAGTCAGGAACTTTTACAAGCCGATCGCCTGTCTGATTATCAAGATATTAATGATTGGAATTACAAATTTTGAAAACCGTTCGCTGAACGGTTTTCATAACACTACAGTCTATTGGGGAAAACGAGTATGGTAAAACCGGTCACTCAAAGATTTTTACCTTTTTGAGGCACTTCTTGATCGTTTTGAAGCGCGATTTTTTTTAGGGCTTTAATATTACACCATATCACAGACACTGGTAACATGTAGGACCGTGTATCTCAGATTTAACATTGTTAAACGATCCCTTTAATGCTTCGAAGGCCTTGAAGAAGTTGATGATTAATTACACAGGAGGTTTACTTTGCAACCTGCACTCCAGTATTATGGCTGATCTTTGCAGTAGTTGGCAACCACATGAACAATGAAAAGGAGCTTCTAGTAATTTCATTAACTCTTTATATACCACATACATAATCTCCCTGTGCCACACTGTATGTATCATGGGATAGATATACCAAATGCTTCAAGAATAGTTAACTGTTTCCAGTTCAAGATTAATCTATACCAGTGTCAAAAGGGTTGCTATGGATTTAATCAAGATCAGAAATGAGTAATTTGGCAAATCCAGTTGCACAAAGCTACCCTTACATCAATTGGTGCCTATGTTCTGTGCAAAAATGCATGTATGGCAAACGAGCCACCATACAAAGAGGCAAAGAAAGCAACTAAAGTGTTAAACTCCCTCTTATCTGATGTACAGAATGTCTATATATATTTTCCAACACATTAAGTATAATTGAAATTGTCTTACTACGTTTGATTGGCTTTCACTAAATACATGTACATGAAATAGCATCATGATATGTTAAAGATAAAGTTGAGTTCTGGTCATGCGATTCCTTTTTTTTTATTGTGTGGAAGTAGTTGGAAAAGGTTGCTCGTGTAGCATTAAAGTATTGGTGTATACTGTGACATTTTGGAATCATGAAAATGATAAGAAATTGGCCCAGTCCCATGCATTGTACACAGAAATGTGTATATGGGACTACACAAAAATGTGGCATGAAATTACGATCCACAACCTTTACTGTTGCCATATTTCAGATATGAGGGCATTTGAAGAGCCGTCCTTTTCAGTGGATTTTATTTCTATTATACTCTTCCCCACTGACATAAAAAGAATGAAAAAGCGCCCAAATTATTTTTCACCTTTCCCAGAACTCAACCTTCTCTTTAAAATCAACTCTTGTACGTGTTCTTGCTACAGTGTCAAGTCATGCAGAAGACGATGTCCGGTCAAATAAAGAACACCAAGATACTAGAAAAAGGAGACTTCTTTGGACAGCCAGCATTAGAAGGGTAAACTAAAGACTTATCAAGCCTCCTTCAGTAGTAGTAGTAGAAGTAGAAGTAGTAGTAATAGTAGGAGTTGGAATAGGAATAGGAGTAGCAGTAGGAGTAGTAGTAGTAGTAGTAGTAGTAGTAGTAGTAGTAGTATTAATAGAAGTAGTAGCAGTAGTAGGAGCATTATTATAAGTAGTAGGTAGTAGTAGTAGTAGTAGTAGTAGTAGTAGGGGAGGAGAAGTATAATAATAGTAACTGTTGTTGTTACTGTTTTAGATGTTATCAAAAATAACATGGGTCTATACTATTCTTGGTTCGTTCGTTCGTGTCTCCTTAGATCAAGAAAGTTCCTTAATTAAAATTAAAGTAAATTAAATTAAGTTCTTCCATCGCCCGATTGCTGCAATGGCCGTTTCATTAACAAGGGCCAGGTCTTCATCTGTGCAACCCGTTCTTGGTTACTAAACTGTAAAAATGATTGCAGTAGGTACATTCCTTTCCCGGTTAATACACATCACTAGTTCTATGTTTACCATAGTTACACAGTATCGTTTGTTCCCTTTACACACCATAATTACAGTGATAATTAACTTAATGGTGATTGCAGCTTGTTTAATTAACTGACATATTGCAGTCTGATATATCACTCTGACTTACTCGTCCCAATCTATAGTACATTGTTGTTTTCAATCAGAAATTACTTTAATTAACGTTACATGAGCTCTAGATAAATGACAGCAACCTATTATTTATGGTAATTTGATGCTATTGTAATTTGGTGCCAGTTTATTCATCAAATGGCTAGCCAGGCAAAATTAAATTACTCATTAGGTGATATTTAATCATAAACTTCTTTGTACTCAATACATACTGACGAGTTTCTACTTGTTTGCTTTTTTTACTCTCCTTTTACTTCATTTTCACTTCATTTTCACTCTTAATTTAGGGATGAAATAATCCGAGAAGCAACAGTAATAGCAGCGGACTCCAACGGTGTTGTATGCCTGGCACTTGATAGAGAGTAAGTATCTTAGATATTTTTAACTTTTTGCCAATTTGTGCACAACCTACTTTTGTGGCAATATTAAAGGTAAAGACCAGTTATGGTCATGCGATTGCATTGTGAAAGAAACGTTGTGGAATCGATCTGAAAAGGTTAATCATCTAGCATCTAGCATCTGCAAGGTTCTGGAATCATCAAAATGATAAGAAATTTGGCCCATTCTTCGTAAAGTTACAAGCACTATACACAGAAAGATGTATATGGGACTACCCTATATCTCTCACAGACCATGAGAGAAACAAATTTACCAAATATATGAATTAGTAGGCGGTTTCACGGCAAATTTTTTATCATCATGTATTAGTCAAAACATATTCTTTCACATGATTGGTAATGAGAGCTTCCATTTCATTTTTTGAAATTGGGGCGTTTCCAATACTGGTCTTTACCTTTAATAGGGATATCTGTTAGGAAAGGATTATCTCTATTCATTAAAATAGCAATCATTGTCATGCATTTTTCCTTCTTTTTTTTTGGTTGTATTTTCTATGTTAGAAGGACAATTTGAAGGATTGTTTATTGTCTTTTATAAACACTAGCAAACACATCAAAATGTCAAGTAAATATGACATGATATAATATAGACGTGACAAGTGTATTGCGAGACACAAGTCTTCATTTTGTTACCTTGACACTGCATTCAAATCATGCATGCTGTCTAGTCTGTTCTTATCAAACTTGTTTGTCTAGACGTTGCACATGTGTGTAATAATACATCACAAGAATCAGACCATGGACCCTATAATTTATGATAAAAATATCTACCGATAACCAAATATGACAGACATTTATACCCCCTACTGTCTTAATTTAGCCTGAAATATGTTTATGGCATTGCTTCACTGTCATTATATAGGGTATTTAAACTTCTAAAACGATAAAGAAAGATCATAAAACAGCAGTGACATCTATGAATTACCATGGTGCTCTTAAGGGGAAGTTTTAAAGTTTAAAAAAATTGTATGTCTTAAAACTTTCAGGACTGGATTTATTTTCAGGGACGACTTGATCGCACATTGTTCTTCAAATTGGCAACAATAATTATTTTTTTGTATAACTACATTATTAAAATAACATGTAATAAAGTCTCTGAAACAATATACATGGACAAGAATATTGTCCGAGATGAAAATTGCCAATTGTGATTGAAAAACAATGATTTTTAATCTCTCAACGTGTTGCCAATTTAAGAATTTTATAGCTTATTTTAAAATTTTAAATTCCTGGTATCAAACAAAACTATAGTCATGAAATAAAATGGATGCAGTGGGTGCCGAAATTCTCACTCTTTCTACTCGAGTGTCTAGCGTATGTTTAGGGCTCTGAATCAAAGATTCATGACCTGTATAATTTCTTTTTAGGCTGTTTCATGTTTCGATTAAATTCTAACGAACTTCCTCATGCCATCACGTCGACGTTCCAAAAGAATCAACAACTTCACAATTATCCAACCCGACAGTCTTCCTTTTTTCACTTACACAAACTGAGAACTTTACTTTAAAAAAAACTTTGATTTATACTGGCCCTGTGTACTGGAACTCCTCAGACATTTCGCTCAAACAGCTGCCAAGTTTAATTACTTTTAAATATCACTTGAAACATAAACTTCTACTCCAGTATGAAAATGTTTAAGGTCATCATGATAGAGACCATCGGTATTATCAACACTTGTTGGCTGGCTGCACCACACACCCGTTTTTGTTCTTTTGTTTTGTTGTTTTGTTTTATATATTATGTAACAAATGAATTATGTAAAGGGAACCTTAATTACAAGCATAATGCTTCCAAGGTTTCCTCCTCATTACTGCAGATAACTGTTAGCATCATATGTATTTAATGACTTGCCATTACATCGTTTTTATTACTGTTGTATCAATCGAATATTATGTACATGTTTTGTTACCTTGTATATGCCTTACTTTGTAAATTCTTTTCATATGCAGTTAATGTGGAAATAAAACCTAAATAAATTTAAAAAAATAAAAAAAAGTTGTGAATTGAATTACAAAATGTGGAAAGATTGTTGCAAAAGCGTCAAAGAAACCCAAAACAAGATAAATATTGGAGACTCCTCTTTCATCCACCACACTCTAATGGCTGTAATCGTTTCAGCATGATTATTAAGGCGGACTGATCCCTGATAAAATATTGAGGGTTGCCATGGTCGGTGATCGGTAGTACATGAGCATTAAGTACATTAAGCATCAATATCTGGTTCAAGTACCGCTCTCGAGTTATAGGCAAGCGCGTTGATGGGATAATAAAGCTGATAGGTTTTTATAAAATGATAATATTGTTGCAGCATTCTACGTGCACAATGTGAAAGCTTAATCCGAACAGAGCAGGCAGGTCTACTTGGATAATAAAGGAATTACAAAACTTTTACATGGTTGAAATTTTCACTTTGTCTGAATTGATTTCATAATTCTCATCTAACTACTGAAAGTCAGGTGATTCCTGTTTTATCATAAATTGTGTGTAGAAGGCTTCAAATACCTAGGAAAAAAGTATCAGAATTACATGATTAAAACACAATCACGCACTGTGTTCTAAATTGTGATTTGTTAATATATTTAGTCACTGATAATTTTTTCCAAATTGAAAAATGCTCCTGTAAGTTGTTAATATATTTCGTACACAATGGTAAATTGTAGTATATAAAGGTTTTTCTTTTACCTATTGCATTGCCTTAATCTATTAACTGCATTTTAGGTCAAGTCGACATGAAAAGACAAGATTTCTCAAAACCATGACATCATATGTAAGAGAGGCGAAATACTAATTATCCACTGAAGAATTTTTTTTTTTTTAGATATATGATGGGCAAAATCGGGCTATTGGATAACATAAAAATAGGGCTGCAGCTTAAGGAATTTTTCTGATAGGAACAACAAAACTGATATTGGTATTTAAAATTGAAAAATTGAATCTTTGATTTGTGAAGAATCCCTGGCATACCGCCAAAGTTTTTTTGCAAGACATTAATCTACATTTGCCATGCTTGACCCAGGTGAGGTAAATGGGTACCTGCTAGGGATTAATTCCTGTAAAAATGCAAGAGTGCCATATTGGCAGGCATGCTAAAGCTGGGTGAAAATTGTGGAGTGCCAGAAGTGTCAAGTCTGACAGACATGAGCGCTTTGTAAGAGCCCCACTGTCATTATATTACCATTATCATTAAGAATGCATAACCATGACAAGTAATACTCCTTTGACAACTAGAGGTCATTTGAAGAGATATGGGGGGCGTTTCACAAAACTTGTCATCAGTGACAAACGACAGTTTGTGTTATAAGCTACTGGAATCCTTGCTTCTGATTGGTTATCAGCAGATTTGTAACTGATTTTGGTCATTTGTCATTGAAAAAAGGCTTTGTGAAACAAGCCCCAGGACGAATTGATGGTTTATTTGACAAGGGATCGCAACCCTCTTGACCCTAGACAATATGTCCGTCTTGGATATCAATTACATGAAAATGTGAAGCATATACATGTAGAAATATTGAAATATTAAGCAAAGGAGAGTGATGTTTCTGAAGGTGTGATTTTTAAAGGGCATTAAATGGACAGTGTCATATCATCTTATAACCTTTTCAGAACAGGATTTATTTTTAGGGCTAAATTGATCACATATTGTTCTTCAAATTGGCAACAATAATATTTTTATTTTATCGCTACATTGCTCAACTGAAATTTCTTTGAAAACAATGTCATGGACGAGAATGTTGACGAAGCTTGAACAAAGGGCAATTTTTTATTGAAAAACTTTGATTTTTAGTCTCTTAGAGTGTTACCAATTCAAGGATATCAAAACTTATTTTCGTTTCCGAAAATTTTCCTTCCCACTCATAAATATGGAATTATTTTTTCAAAATTGGCTGCATGCAAGAAGGTCATAATAAATATGTATTATTAATGACAAAACAGCCTTCTTACGTGAAGCTGACAATTTATTACATTATATCCCTCAGTACTAATAGATTCTGCATATAATAATTCCTTGGAGGTATGGGCAATAAATATTTAAGTGCTTGTTTTTTTAATGGTGATAGCTTGCAAGTCCCGACATGACTGTGCATTAAATAAAATATGAATATGTTTCTGATACCTGTTTGTACTTTGTTTTTTTGGTACATAGTTAAAAAGCTTATCTCGAACCATCGGGTCATCTCGTCAGATCAGGGTTGCGTTACAAGACCTTTTATGAAAACATGCCCCTTTATTCACGAAATGTCGGGGGTAAAATAAACCCCTCTCATCTACAAAATGGTCTGGTCTAATTTACCCGACAGTAATTTATGAGAACCCTATGGCAAATCTACAAAAGGTTGCATGCGTTTCCGCTTCCCTTTCACGAAAGGTCGTGCAACGCGACCATCCGACTGAACACGATTACCCGATGATACGATGTAAGCCCGGTTAATATGGCCTGCTAGACCTTTTAGTAATACACGAGATTCATTAAATTCAAGAACCCCAAACTATCGACCTCATAGTGTATACATGGGTAAATGACTGCATAAACTATCTCGCCCTTGTACTGTGCGTATCCGACTGAAAGAAGTGAAAAGCCCTCGACCCACTTCCCAAAATTTCTCGGTATACTCATGAGAGCAAACCCCCTGAAGCTAAAATCATACCAACAGTACTTGTTATCTTACCAACGCTGTCAGTGCCCTTCTTTCTTAATAAGATATAATTTGATTATGTTTTTTATTGAATGAGAGAGTAGGATATTTTTTCATTCTCGTTTTAATGTATGTTTACACGCACGAGAAACACCGTAACAGTTTAGTTCAATTTATTTGTCATGCGCAAAAATAAAAGTACAATTGGCATAAGAATAATTATCTGACTGTTTCCGTAAAAATACAAAAAGGGAAATAAACATGTATTGAAATAGAACCTCGTATCAGAACAATGTGTTTTACAAATATATATATTCGACATAAATATATATAATTCAACATATAGTAATAGATATGTCCATTAGTAAACAGGAAATAGAAAACACATCACAGTCTTTTAAAGACGACAACGGCACAGTATAACACATTACATGGACAGGGAAACCAGAAAACATAGCAACTAATTCGAAATGAAAAGAAGCAAAAGTAATATGAGCAGAGATAAGAGAAAAACAGGACAAAGAAATGGAAGTGGGAAGTAATACTTTACAACTTCTTAACATTTCTGAGGAATCAGATGTTTGGAATGAGAATGAAAGGAATTACACAAACCACAATAAATCGTCAATCAACTGTTTTGACAACCGATCATAATTCGTATTCCCACACTGTCTGTGGAAAATCTGATTCAGCTTAGCTGCTTTTATGAGACTTAAAATCAATAATTTTGATCGACCACAGCCTTTCCTCAGTGGAGCTTTAATTGTAGACTTTAATCTAACGCAATTAAATATAAAGTCGAGTTCTGGTTACGTGATTGCACTTTAAAAGAAACTGAGTGGAAACGATTGGAAAAGGCTGATAAGTCTTGGTGTATACCGTGAGGTTTTGGAATTATCTGAATGATAAGAAATTGGCTCAGTCCTGCTAAGAGTCCCATGCACTGTACACATAAATGTGTATATGGAACTGCACAAACATATGGTATGACATCTTGGTCCACAACCCTTAGCTGTTACCTATCATATTTTGACAATGAGGGCATTTAAAGAGCCTTCCTTTCCAGGAGACACTTCTTTTATGATGCTCTTCCATATATACATAGGAAGAATGAAAAACTCACAAAATTATTTGTCATTTCCAGGTTTCAACCTTCTCTTTAAAAATTCTCACCACACTGAGACCATCGGCTAAACCTTTTTTTGTGATAGGTATGATCTGTGGAGAAGACAGAGAGAGAGATGTAAAAACGGCTTTTGCATTTATTAAAGTGTGGTAGATTTTATGCATTAGTATTTGTAATCATCATAATTGTACTTTGTCTGAAAAGAAAGATAGTGCATACCAATAATTCAAATTGTAATTAAAATTGAGTATTTTATTGTCTGTTCTGAAATTAGTTCTTTTTTCACTGGTCTAAGTTTAATTACAAAAAGAAATAATAATCATATTCATAGACAATTACAGTTATAATGCAAAATTGAGTCATAACAGTATTAGCTGGGTAGGATACACAAAATCACTATTGTACGGCAAGGATGCCGACAGAGTGAAAGAAAAGAAGATAACCAAAGTTAGGCAGAGGAGATGGGTTGAGCAGAGAAGAAAATATAGAAAAAGAGAGCGAGCCAAAAGTTACAGGAAGTATACAATGTAGTTTAGCTTAGAGACTTTGGTGGAAAGCGCCTTATAAGCACCGTTTTCATGGCTGTTTTTTATTTTGTTATTACTATTATTATTATTATTATTATTATTATTATTATTATTATCATTATTATTACACTAATATGATGAGGATAAATATATTTGTATTACTTTTCCTTGATATTTGATTGATATGTTTTGTTTTGTTTTTGTTTTGTTTGTCTTAGAGCCTTCCTCCAAATTGCAGGTGGTCTAGACCCAGTCATCAAGAACAAACTAGAGGATAACGCTAAGAGCAGGTAAGTCACGTCACAAAAAGGATTTATCCATGGGAATTTCTTCTTTGATTGATAATAATGATTGTTTGGAGCCGAAAAGGGGTTCAAGTACAATCAAACCTGTCTAGTAAGGCCACAGAAGAGAAACAGAGAATGTAGCCACTGTATGCAGATGGCCATTCTAGACAGGTTCTACAACACACATTTCTCTCTCAAGGGACATGACATGTAGGCCACTATAGACAGGTGGCATTTACGGAGAGGTGGTCACTATTAAAGACAGGTTTAACTGTATATAAGTTAATGCCCTCTGGCTCCAAACAGACGACAATATAAGATCACATATGGGTTTATTGTTTAGTATAAGTTATTATAGATCAAGGTCTACCAGGCACTAACCATCAGTCTAAGGCATAACAAAAAAGAGATATTGTATTGCCCTTTGCGACCGACCCAAAAATCTTGAAATCCAGGGTCGGCTTTAAAAAAAAAAAATTAAAAAGTGTTTAATGAATACAAAAATATGTATTGAAGCATTCAAAACTGAGACAAATAAGCCCAAAGAGGGAGAGGAAGAAAAAAGTTTTTTTTTTTTAAAGATTTCCGACCGACCGACCCATGTTTTGGTACCTAAAGGGGAATACGACATCTTCTTTGAAAGGCCTAATTTAAAAATCTAGATGGTGAAGCAAACAGCAGCCTCTATGAATGTGCAACACTTGGCATTTTGATCGGGTATGTTGCTTAGTTCGTGACTTTATATTCATAGTACAGATCCGTTTTATAAAGCAAATCATTCATGTTTTGAAGCTAGTGCATTGGTGACGCCCCTGCCTTGGGTAAAGTCACAATGAGCCGGATACTGAACCTGACAAGCCTCGTTCATTATCTGATTGTGACCTCACCTGCTTTAAGTGCATTTCCACTAATGCTCTGGCGCAAACATCAATTATTTGTATTTGTTTGCATACTATTAACCTTCTTGTGCAGTTGAATTTGCAATCACTGTGGACAATATGTTATAATAAAATATAGGATAAGAGATCAGCCTTAAAGGGATCCGGTAACTTTGTCTCAGATTCTGAAACAAAATTCTGGATTTAGCTCATGATGCAATGATATTTATAAACCTGTAGGTCAGTCAGGAACCCCATGACTTTTACCAGCCGATCGCCTGTCTAATTATCAAGATATTTATGATTGGAATTACAAATTTTGAAAACCGTTCGCCTGACGGTTTTCATAACACTACAGTCTATTGGGGAAAACGAGTATGGTAAAACCGGTCACTCAAGGATTTTTACTTTTTGGAGGCACTTCTTGATCATTTTGAAGCGCGATTTTTGTAGGGCTTCAATATTACACCATATCACAGACACTAATAACATGTAGGGCCGTGTATCTCAGATTTAACAATGTTAAACGATCCCTTTAATGTTCATTGAAATTTAGGATTTGTTATCATTGGGGTCTACAAAGATTCCTGTCTCCAACAGAGACGAATAACAATTTGGAATTTGGGATTTGAAAAGAAAAATGTGGATAGAAAGACTGGCAGCCATCAGCGTTAACCCCCAAAATAATTTGAAAAGGACCTTTTGATATCCTTGTAACCTAGCTGAATTGTACTGCTCAGACTTAACTCTAATGCCTTTGTTTGGTTGATATTATTTTGGTTTTCTTTTTCTTCTTCTTTTCTTGGCAGAGTTGATTCTGAGTTTGCTGATCTCCAGCTTGATGATATTCACATAGTAGCAACATTAGGGGTTGGAGGATTCGGACGTGTAGAACTGGTAGGTATTTTAGAAATAAATTTATCTTATTAATTGGCGAGTGCAAACCTTAGTGAATATAGATGTTTTCTCTCTCCAGTATCATAGATAATATTATATTTTTGATCAACGAAATCCTGTTCAGTGATTGGTCAACATAGCTTCATGTGACCAAACATAACATTGCTATGATTTAACTGTGACGTCATCCATGGTATAGTGCAAACTATACCATGGCACTTTACCATGGATGACGTCATATACAGTGCATCCCAGAAAAAACGAAACCGAGAAGTATCGATGTTCTATCATAACTTAATCACAACTATAATTAATGAATGATACATATTTGGAAAGCTTAGAGTCTCCTCAGATAATGCATATTTCATGCATGAGTGATTAAAAGCAATTTGAAGGAACTAAGACTCTAAGCTTTCCAAATATGTATCATTCATTAATTATGGTTGTGATTAAGTTATGATAAAACATTGATACTTCTCGGTTTCGTTTTTTCTGGGACGCACTGTATATGCGATCGATCAAGATCAATGTGCTATCGGTCGCGGTCGCGGTACTTTCGTCTGCGCTGCTCTCACTGCACTCTACATTACTTAAGTGACAGTTAACATAATTATTAGTATTATTATTATTTTTATGAAGGTTGGTTTGAAAAATATAAAACAAATATATCATGCATTATTTCAAGCAACTAGTGGAATTATGGATTCCTCGGCGACAGAAATGGCACCTCGATCCATAATTTCAACCAGAGCCTCTCAGTGCATGGTATATTTGGTTACTATCCTATAAACAATGTATTATATGGTTCTCATTTTAAATTGTTGACGAGTTCATGAATTACTATTTTAAAGTCATTTTAGGCAAGATTTTTCCATTTTGTAGATGAAATGGAACCGGGTCAGTCATATTATGATAAACACCTCAGATTAACACTGGAAACTTTTACTCTCGTGCTTTTTGTGTTTTTCATAATTCAAGAATAAGTTGGATTGGTTGAATTAGGGCCTTTGTTAAATAGTTTTACATGATCACCTTGATATGTCACATTCTCAAAAAACATAAATCGGGACAAATAATTGTTCACATACCTCAAAAATTTACAAAACTTGGTAAGGGTATGAATCATTTATTTGTTAACTAACTTTGTTTCATTTCATTTATGGCATGTTATTTTTTTTTCTTCTTTCTAGGTGAGGTTGGATGGTAGCAATCAGACGTACGCCTTGAAGCAGCTGAAGAAAAGACATATTGTTGAAACAAGACAACAAGAACATATCATGTCAGAGAAAAATATCATGTTGGAAGCTAGATGTGACTTCATTGTCAGGTTAGTATGAAATGATAGATAGATACATAGAAAGATAGATGTATAGATGGATGCATAGACAGATAGATAGGTAGATAAATAAGACAACAAGAACATATCATGTTATAGGAAAATTTCATGTCAGGGGATAATATCATGTAAGAAGCTAGATATGACTTCATTGTCAGGCCAGTATCAAATGATAGATAGATAGAGAGGTAGATAGATTGATTGATAGATAGATAGATAGACATATTCATACATAGATTAATCTAAGTACTGTGTTGGTTTGAATCCACACATTTGCACAATTGTTCATGACTTTCTGCTTACATAACTTTGAGGTCCATGTACTCGTGTTAAGATACCCACCTCCATGTGATTATTGTATGAAATTTAAACCTCATTCTTTTATATTAATACACTTTAAAATAAATTTACATTGCAAACAGGTTTTTATATGACAAAATATGGATTCAAATAGACATGGAGGTCAAAAGCTATATGGGAAAGAAGAAGCTGTACGGGTTGTGGAGAAGTAATACTTTTCATACAATGATATTTACATAAACAAGACAAAAATCTATTGGTTGGTAAGGGGCCATATATAATAGCACATGTGCCAGTCAATCCCAACATGCTCAGCTTTTTATTTTGGCTCCTCACATTTTACCTTTTATTTTGTCTATCGTATCTCTATCCCTTGAAACTTTCTTCTCATGTTCTGTGTATTGTATTTAAGTGATTTATCCATATTGTTTTTAGCAACTCTTCAGCTTGTATGTATCTTGATTGCTTTTGATTTAAATGTGGAACAAATGAAGTTCAAACTTCAAAGATTTCATTGATATTGGGTATAATATACCTCTTCTTCTTAAACTGGATCCTGATTTGGAAGTGGCAATTGTGTTAGTTTTATTTTCCTTTTCCTTTTCAGATTATATTGTACCTTCAAAGACAATAAGTATCTTTATATGCTGCTAGAAGCTTGTCTTGGCGGAGAGCTGTGGACGATACTCAGAGATAAGTGAGTAATGATATAATAATAATACAGTGTGTATGATGATAATGATGATGGATGATGGTGGATGATAATATTGATGAAAAAGATGATGATGATGATGATGATGATGATGATGATGATGATGATGATGATGATGATGATGATGAAGAAGGTGATGATGATGATGATGATGATGATGATGATGATGAAGATGATGATGGTGATGATGATGATGATGAGGAGGAGGAGGAGGAGGAGGAGGAGGAGGAGGAGGAGGAGGAGGAGGAAGAGGAGGAGGAGGATGATGATGATGATCATGATCATGAGGATCATGAGGACGAAGAGGATGATGAAGCTGATGATGATGAGGAGGAGGAGGAGGATGATGAAGATGTGAAGAATAAGAAGAAGAACAACAACAAATGAATACTTTTATTTAAAAGAATACCATTCATGTTCCTGATGATTTTTTTTAATGTGCATTTCTCATTTTACAGGGGATCATTTGATGACAGTACGACACGTTTCTACACAGCGTGTGTAACAGAGGCTCTAGCCTACCTCCACAATAAGGGTATCGTCTACCGAGATCTCAAACCAGAGAACATCCTTCTAGACAACAAGGGATATGGAAAACTAGTGAGTATATCAGTCAAACTTAGACTTCCAGGGAAGAGCAATGGTATCCTATATTATGAGGAGGAGTTTTGTATGATAAGCATACTGTAGAACCCGAAGGTTCCAAAAATAAAGTTGAGTAGGAAAAGATAAGGTTTTACTCAACAATACAAATTATCAAAAACTTGAGAATGGTAAAATTGAAAGTATAAAAACGACTCCTTGCAGCTGAAAGTGTTTCAAAAAGGGTAGTACAACTACAAATATTAACAACTTTGTGTCTCCTCGACGAACGAAGGTAGCTGACGATGAGTATTGATGAGTTTGAGGGTCTTTGTAATTATACTTTCCAACTGTCATGAACTGGATCAAGATGTGCTATCAAAGGTCAAAGTTGATTTCAAATATCCCATCGGTGCCACCATTATGAGTTGGTGGGTCTTGGTAGGTTCTAGGACACCTACCCCCTGGACAACTATCCTAGGGGGTAGCTGTCGGGGGGGGGGGGGTAGTTGTCCGGGGGGGGGTAGTTGTCCTAGGGGGTAGTTGTCCAGGGGGTAGTTGTCTGGGGGTAGTTGTCCCGGGGAAAAGTTGTCCTAGAGGGTGGTTGTCCTAGGGCTAGTTGTCCTAGGGTGTAGTTATCCTAGGGGTTAGTTGACTAGGGGGTGGTTATCCGGGGGGTGGATGTCCAGGGGGTAGGTGTCCGGATACGGTCTTGGTAATGGTAGATAACTCACGACAATAGAGAGTCGGCATACTGGTTTGTTATGGTAGACATGTTATTTATTCAACTACGAGGGATACCAGATATTCGCATATCGCATATCGTAACAAGTATATCAATCAATCTAGACTTCAGGGAAGAACAGTGGTGTCCTCTATTATGAGGAGGAGTTTTGTATGATAACGATACCAACAGAGCCAGAGAACAGAAGAGGACCAATGCTTGAATAAGAGCAAATTCAAAGGCAACTGTTGTTTTTACTAGACATAAAAAATTGATTGAGGTGATTACAATTCATTTAGGTGCTATCTTTATAGACAATTGTTGTAATGTAATTAAATTTAATGTACAAATCTATAAGTGCCTTGTTACAAATGATTTCTTTCACCTGTTAAGAATAATTGTATTTCAATAACCAGAACGAAGGTGGAGTAAATTAGGAAAACATGTGTGAGTGGGGGAAAGAAAGGGGGAGTTAGTTGATATAATTATCAAGTGATTATTCACATTTGAAACCATTCTCATCATCAACTCTTTCTCTCTCTCTCTCTCTCTCTTTCTCTCTCTCTCTCTCCTAGGTTGACTTTGGGTTTGCCAAGAGAATAGGTCACGGAAGGAAAACCTGGACGTTCTGTGGTACACCAGAGTATGTAGCACCTGAAATCATCCTCAACAGGGGTCACGACCTTTCAGCCGACTACTGGTCACTCGGTATACTTATGTTTGAGCTACTCACTGGCAGGTTAGTTGAATAGCATCATTCTTTATATCTATAAGGCCTGTCTTCATCAGCTCGAGTTTGCCAAATAACCCGCTATTTTCAGACTCGGCCAATTATCCCGAAGCTCGAGAATTGCGTCTTCACCAGATCGATACGGTCATCACAAACTAGCTCGGACGGGCGCAAATTAGCCTGCTATTTTCCCAAATAGCAGGATATTTTGGAAACAAGACCAACATTTCTCAGGATATTTTCTCAACCAAATATCCGGCTAATTGCAACTGCGGGCTGATGAAGACGCAAATAGACGCAAAAAGTGATCGGGATAGTTACCTGAACTGTGGCAGTTCAGGTAGCTCAGCCAAAACTATTGGCACAAAAAGACGACTCCAGAATGCAAAATGCATAATTGTTGAAAATCACAATTTTATAACACAGAGGTAGAACCACATCGTAGGGATTAGAAGCTGTTATATGCATATACAATTTTGATGAGGCTTAATGCTAGCTAAAATTTTATTTACATATGTCAAAAATAGAACTTTTAATTTACAAACATCACTGTTTATTATTCATTTTGCATTCAGAACGTGTCTTTTTGTGCCAAATTTTGCTGATAAGCTACGTTGGATGTAATGCCAAGCATCCAATTTAACTGAATAAATAACATTTCACAATATGCGATGAGGAATGCACAAAATTATGACAAATTAAGACTTTTGCAATACCGGTATTTACATTGTGGGAAAAAAAATTGATTTTATTTAATTTGAAAAATTATATGCACTTCATTGTGGAAACATACTCATTATAATTATTGTTACTATTATATTCACTGTTATTATTATTATTGTTGTTTTTGTTTTTGTTATTATTATCATTGTGACAAATTAATTTTCAATATTCAAAATTGTGAAGAAAAAAAAATTGAATTGAATTAATTTGAAAAATGATATGCACTTCATTGTGGAAACATACTCATTATTATTATTGTTACTATTATATTCACTGTTATTATTATTATTGTTGTTTTTGTTTTTGTTATTATTATCATTGTGACAAATTAATTTTCAATATTCAAAATTGTGAAGAAAAAAAAATTGAATTGAATTAATTTGAAAAATGATATGCACTTCTTTGTGGAAACATAACCTTTGTTATTATTGTTACTATTATAACCACTGTTATTGTTATAATTATTGTTATTGTTGTTGTTATTGTTATTATTATCATTATTATTGTTGGTGTAATAATTAATGTTATTATTATCATTATCATTATTATTATCATTATTATAATTATTATTATTATCATTATTATTGTTGGTGTAATAATTAATGTTATTATTATCATTATCATTATTATTATCATTATTATAATTATTATTATTATCATTATTACTATTATTGTAAATACTATTATTATTATTATTATTACATGTATTATTATTAGTATCACTATTATTATTTTGTCAATTATGATTATTTTTATTTAGCCCTCCTTTCACTGGGTCTGATCCAATGAAGACATATAACATCATCTTAAAGGGGATGGACATGATTGAATTCCCGAGAAAGATCACACGCAATGCTGCCAACATGATCAAGAAACTATGCAAAGACAACCCTACAGAGAGACTAGGGTACCAGAAGAGCGGACTCAAAGACATCCAGAAACACAAGTGAGTATCCAAATATTTACAAACATTATTAGGGTCTTAATGATTTTAATTTGTTGTTTATATCAATTAAATTTAGATGACCAGTTTATGAAGAATATGAAGTGAACACTTACTTCACCTGCACACACCCACTTGCACACACTTGCAATTTTTTCCATTCTTTACTTTCTTTCTAATTTTCATGTAGATACTTTTATTGAACAAAACCTTTATATGTGACACTCTATTCTCCTACATACTACTATAACAGCGTCATGTACCCCCCCCCCTTCCCTGCTGCTATCAACTTGAGCATTCATGCTTATGGAAATGCAAGCATCACTTTAAACAAACAGAACGTTGGCCTCTACATTTATCTTGATTCTTTGACTTACCTCCATACTTTCAAGTTTTCAATTATACAGTGCGACCCAGAAAAAAACGAAAACCAAGAATTATCTATGTTTTATCATAACTTAATCACAATTATAATTAATAAATGACACATATTTGTAAAGCTTAGATCCTCCTCTTTCATTTGATCCAACTCATATGATGCATATTTCACGCATGAGTGATTAAAAGCAATTTGAAGGAAGGAAACCAAAAAGTCATTTGGCGGCGGTATCTGAATTTCGAAAAAAATTCACATTTCTAGAAAGTTCAGTTTCTGCCCTTTCATATGACACCTCAATCAGGAAAAATGAGCAAGGAATAACAAAGTTCTGTTCGTTTAAAGTGATGCTTGCATTTCCATAATATGATTTTAAAGTTCGTTTTTACTGGCTGCCTGCCGTAGCAACAAGCAGAATTGACAAAAGACTTAACTCTGTTTCATTGACAATCAGCCATGCATGAAGTCTTTCGTCTATGTCTTACGGTATCCGTCGTAGTTGAATAAATAACATTCTTTGTTACTTTCTTCTGTTTACAGATGGTTTGATGGCTTCAACTGGGAAGGTCTAAGGAAACGAAGTCTAACACCTCCCATCGTTCCTACGGTAAGCATCATTATCATGATCAATTTCTATAACATTCAAGTTTACGAGTCACAGAAAAAATCCTTTGTGTGTAGCTAGAATGTATAAAATCATCCTCATAATTACTTCATGTCTTGCATTGTATGGGCTAACAGATAACTTGAACTTGAACTTAAATGCAATGAGTTTATCGATGTACTATGTCTAGATATGATTTCAATCATATACCTCTACCAAATAAATACAATATCTGCTCTTTATTGATGTTGTCTGCTTCTGTTTCTTGTCACTGTTTTGAATCAGGTGAGATCGAATTCCGATGCATCAAACTTTGATGACTATCCTCCCGATCACGAGGCAGCTCCGGAAGACGATACGTCGGGTTGGGACAAGGACTTCTGAAGGTCATACCCCGCACCCTTGACCTTTTCAAAGTTGGCTGTATGCTAACAACAGAACTACAGAGATGCTAGGATTAGACGTCAGCCGCGGAGAGAGAAGTCAACCATGTCTATCGCATCGACTGCATCATGGGAAAAGAGATTAAGGAACAGAGACAAAGTGGGAGGAGTTGCATTGTTAGCTTTGGAAGGCAGAGCTCAATATCAAGTTATTCAAGAAGACTGACCAAGCTATAGTCCAACAAGGAAAGACTTTCCAATCGGGCCGAAGATAAAGAAGTTCATCGTTTGAGCTCAAATGTAAAAAGTAAAGGAAAAGTTTAATACTCAGAGTTGATGTGCCGTGAACAAATTGTGAGTGTTTCGAAAGGGTTCGTATCGAGGACCAATTCATGTAGCCCAAGATGAGCAGTGTAAAAGAAGAAACATATGAAACACAGTATTGGTATATCATTCTTAACCTACTCCCAAAGATCTTATATAACAGTATACACCTTGTGATGTGATAAATCATTTAAGAGAACAAAGAAAGATGTTATTGCAAGCTGATTATATATTATTCTCATGCTGGAAACATCGTGAAAATCGTTTGTTAATTGGCTCGTTTGTTTATGCACAAGTGACATTTTTCTCTCCTTCGATTCATTTTCTTTTAATTGGACTTATTGTTTTGTTAAAAGGTTCTGTACTCTGTTGAACATTGTCATTATTGGTCTTTTTGAAGATTTAAGGTGGCTAGATACGACGTTTTCCATGGCCAAATAAAGTGTTCAACAATGCTGCATAATATCATTACACGTTACCGATGTTTAAACTTAATGTTTATAATTAATGATGATTATGAATAGTGCAGGCACTGTCAAATACTAACCAATCAAGAACCTAAATCTAAAAAAAGGTCACAAATGATCATGATCAATTTCTAGCATATTTATTTTTTCTTAACTTACCTTGCAAGAAATATGTCATACATTTTTGCTACGACACCATTATTTCAGCATGATTATTCAAGATGTTTTTTTTACTTTCTTTGTGTTTGTACTAGAGTACAGCTCATTGTAGGATGATATTTATAGACATTGGTGGAAATATTTATCTAGATGAGCCAGCTTTTTAAAGGCTGAATGTGCAAATTTGTACTATACGATTTACTTTTTAGCCATAGTTATTTGAGTCCATACATGTACACCTATTTACCTCAGTAGTGCTGACATTTTTCCACAGTCTTATCACAAAGTAACGATGGAATTATAGGTTGTGTTCTTTGCTTTCATTCTGTCCTTTAAAGATAAAGTTGAGTTCTGGTCATGCGATTGCATTGTGAAAGAAACAGTGTGGAGTTGCTCAAAACAGGTTGATCATCTAGCATACTGTAAGGTTCTGGAATCATCAAAATGATTAGAAATTTAGCCCAGTCTTGGTAAAGTTACAAACACACAGAAAGATGTATATGGGACTACACAAACATGTGGCATGAAAATCTGTTCCGATTTTTATGATGTTACATGCCATAGTCAGAATATTAAGGCATTTAAAGAGCCATGCTTTCCAGGGAACATTTGCAATCTGATGTTCTTCCACACTGGTATAATACAACGCTCACAAATTATTTTTCACCTCTTCCCAGAACTCAACCTTCTCTTTAAGCCTTGCTCAGATATGACACTGCAAAACCACGGCAGTTTTGTAATAATGACACAATGTGTAATACTTTCCACATTTCTGTATCTTATAACATAGAGCTCAGTTCACACACGCGCCTCACACGACCTTGGTTGCGTGCACTTGCCATTCATTTACACGTAAAATTATGCGGCAGCGTTTCTTACCGTGGTTTAACTCGTCACATCTGAACGAGCCTTCGGAGTTGGAGGATTCTAGTGCAAGCGTACAAATACATCTGTGTGCATTTGATTACAGTATAATTTACTTAAAGGTCACGGGGTCATCAAATTGTCAGTAACCTTTGACACAGTATTTGTGTGTGTAACAGTGAAGAACATAGCTATATCCATGTGTGTGCAATGATTATGAATGCCTTGATTATATGTTTTAAAGGAATGCATACATATATTCTTCCTGTGGCTTGAATGAATGAAATGTGTGGTGCATACAGGTTTATGTTTGGTCCAGGAATATATCATCATGGCCAATCTGATGATGATTTTAGGCCTAATCTGTTACTAAAATCATAATCAACAGTATGTGAAATTCATCCAGTCTTATCATAAAGTCAAGATGACATGTTACATTGTGTCATTTTGTTTTTATTCTGTCCATAGATTGTAAATGAATTGACATATAGATGGGCTAGATCAGCATATGATGGTGCAAGATTATAAGTGACTCTCTTCCATTGGGTTCTAGATTCGGAGGCATTATGTGCACCATCTTCATGTATTAGTGTTAAACTGCATGCACCCTAAATCTGACGGTCCGGGTCCTATGTCATATTCACTAGACCCCATCTACCCTGCATAATAGCCCCACATTGGTGACCAGATATTGAACCCTGAACCTAATGGTCCAGTGTCCGATGTCATATCCACTAGACCTCATCTTCCCTGCATCATAGTCCCACATTGATGACCAGATATTGAACCCTAAACCTAATGGTCCAGTGTCCGATGTCATATCCACTAGACCTCATCTTCCCTGCATCATAGTCCCACATTGATAACCAGATATTGAACCCTAAACCTGATGGTCCAGTGTCCCATGTCATATCCACTTGGCCTCATCTACGCTGCATCATAGTCCCACATTGATAAACAGACATTGAACCCTAAACCTGACGGTTCAGGGTCCTATGTCATATCCACTAGGCCTCATCTTCCCTGCATCATATTCCCACATTGATAACCAGATATTGAACCTTAAACCTGATTGTCCAGTGTCCCGTGCCATATCCACTAAACCTCATATACCCTGCATCATAGTACCACATTGATAACCAGATATTGAACCCTAAACCTGAGGGTCCAGTGTCCCGTGTCATATCCACTAGGCCTAATCTACCCTGCATCATAGTCCCACATTGATAACCAGATATTGGACCCTAAACCTGAGGAGTGTCCCATGTCATATCCACTAAACCTCAACCACCCTGCATCATAGTCCCTCTTTGATAGACCAATTCATAAACAAATCTGTATGTCAATGGTTAAAATTCAGATATGCTATTGTTGCTTTTTCAGACTACCATGAGGGTTGTCAAAAACGAGCAGTGTGGAAAAGGACATGTATACAATTGGTATTGCAGTGGTTAGAATGCAGATATTCCATATTGCTGCCATGTCAGGCAACCATGAAGGTTGTTAAGAACAAGGATTGTGGAAGACGACATGCATACAATTTGAATATATTTTGTAAAATTTGTCTATAGCATCTTTATTACGAGTGTCTCACACCAACTATCAACCAAGCAAGCTTCTTGCAGCTGTATCTCTCTTTAATTGATCTGGATTTGCATATCGGTAAATATGAATAGAAATTTATCTCATATTTTGAAGGAGACCAAGTTCATGGATAGAATGTGATATAAGAAGTGTTAATATCTTTAAATGTTATGATTCTTCTTAAAAAGACTGATAAACTGTGTGCTTTCACAACTTATATCATGTATCATTAATTTGAAAGATCTTTTTTTTTTTAGTCCATACTCTCTTTGTATTTGGAATGTCATTCTTCTTTTAGGATGTGAAGCTAGAGACCGGTTTATTAACATATTCAAATGTATGGATGTTCCTTTCCTGTGGACCTAGCGACGAGTTATTCCATTAACCTGTTATTAATGAATGGACTACAATACTTGGAATCCAGTTTGCAAACATTGCTTGCTGCTATGTCGGAAAAGCATCGGACAAGCTTTCAGGTTGTCAATAACAACCTTTGTTTATTAAGTATGCATACAATTTGAATATGTAAATCGGTTTATTCAACCTTTCTGATAATTAAAAGCCGAATAAGATTTCAAGCAAGGCAATTTTAAGTGGAGTTGAGAGTGAATAACTAGAGACCAAATTGTGAAGATTCTTTTATTGATAAAATACGTGAGGTTATATCAGAATGATGCTAAGGAAAGATAAACTGGCAATGAGATAACTTCTGGATAATATGAACCCTAAGTCAAGAAAGGAAATTAAAGTCAGTAAATGATGATACTTGCTGCTAATGAAGATGTTTATGATGATTATGATGATGATGTTGATAATGATGAAATTGATTATGATGATGATGGTTTTGGTGGTAATGATGATGGTGGTGGTACTGATGGTAATGATGATGATGATGATGATAATTATGGTGGTGATGATGAGGGTGGTGGTAGTGAAGATGATGATGCTGCTGTGGATGATCATGGTGAGGATAATGATGATGATGATGACGGTATTGACGATGATGGTGATGTTTGTGATAATGCTGATGATTATGATGATGATAACAACGGTGATGATGGTGGTGATGATGATGGTAATGTTGTTGATGTAGGCTATAATGGACACAATTTCAGATAACGCCCTCGATGTATTAAGGTATAGTAGACCTGATTGGTATCCAAATAACTGTATGCTTTGACTTATCAAGACGTGTGTCTTATTTATTTTCTTGATGTTCGAATGTGGTGAACGATCTATTTCCACTTTTATTGTGATAATTCATATCTTCATGAACTTAAGGTGCTCAACTGCATGGTGTTTTTTTTTTTATAAAGTGTGTATAGAAACATGAATTGCTAACTTCAAGTTAGTCCTAAATCGCTGATTTTAATAATCCCGACTGAATCGTGTAATATCCAGAAATGTTCACTATAATATATTCATCTCTGTAATATATCAAACACCATTTTAATGACGGTTCTTTCTTTCTTTGATTTCTTAATTGGTGTTTCATGTTTTCAATTTTGTTTGAAGGAATGGGTCACAGTGTGTGCTTAGTGTATGATGATAATCTTTGGAAGGTTTTGTAAAGGATATGCATATTCGTGGAGCAAAACATTTGGTTATGAACGGGACATTGGTACTTCCTTCGGCGTTTCACCTACGTCAATAATAGTAATAATAATATATGAAATTTGTAAGGCGCCAAATTCACTTGAAATCAAATGATCAAGGCGCACTTGACGGGGGGATCACTTTTAAAGCATCTGTATTTCAAACATAGGAACAGGAGTATAAAGTATAAAACATATGAACATAATATACAACAATACATTACATGTGAATCAAACACGTACTTTTTAAGATTACTTTGAACACTCCCAACTGGTCTGCCATTACGAATCTATCAATGGAGAGTATTTCGCGATGTTTTTACGACGTTCGTACGGCCGCCTTACGAATAGAGGGTTGCATACGAAGTTGAACGAAATCTTGGACAAGACCATCGAACAGTCTGCGAACGCTGGTTTCGTACGGCCTTCTTATGAAGATCTTACGAAATGGTCTGAAAATTGTTCGTACGGCGTTCGTAGCAGTTCGTGATGGTATTTGTGACCGATGCTTTAGGAAGAACAAGTATATATTCCGGATTTTTGAAGTGTGAAAGCAATACTCGATTTTAGACTTAGTTGGTGTGTTTTAATATGGCTGCAATATATTATTTACCACCTAAATAATTCTGATCATAATTATGTTGCGCTGATTTTGATTACAGAGTGAATTGATGTGATACATTGGACCGATGAAATACAAAGAGTTGTGGTAACGAATGCCGTTCTAAAATAATTGGATACTTTACTGTGAAGATATTGTTGATTGATTACCTTTTTAATCCATAGTCCGCGCTAGACAGAAATAACCGTCTGGTATGAGGAAAACTGACATTTGTCAACCTTCCCCATGCACATACAGAGGTGGTCAGTGGAGCCAGACGTATTCTCAGCTGAACAATCGTCGATATCAGAGACTTCGGTCTAAGTTCGAGCATGACGCTAGTTCGCGCACAGTGTCATATCTATCCCAAAAAAAATCAAAAAGATTACAAAAATATGATACCAATAATGCAAAGAGGAACATAAAATTACCTAGCGACTAGATTTTCTTAGGAATCGGATATGAAGTTGACAAAATATCGACAAATCGTGCAGTCTTTGCGTCCGTGCCGAATAAAATATGAACTTGCCGACAAGGGTCTAGAAAACCTCGATTTGTGAGAAGATGTCATCCAAAATGTATGTCAAAGTGATACCGACAAATTTGATGATATTTGTTGTCAATTTGGGAGTAATTTATCTAAATAAATTCATGTAGAATATGAGAAATCGTGGATCATATATCACTTTCCTAAGTGTTTTTCTAAATGCGCGCAAACTTTTGGCCACCCCATCATACAATTTATCATGAACTTCCATGTCACAAAAT